CTGTAAACACATTGCAATAAAGCACACATAATAAAACGCTTCTTTACATTCAGTAAAAAATAATGTAAACCAGCAGTGACTGAAATGTAAAAACAGTACATACAGTATATACAAAAATTGGTAGCTATAGGCTATTCATCATCTTTTAGTGAGCACCATTGTTCATAACAGAACTGCAAAATCAGTTCAGTCTCTTATGAGGATTCAGAACCTGCTGAATTTTCCTCTAAAGTTCAGTCTCCTTGACACAAGCTCCGTCAAGTTTGTTAAAAGCTGCTGTTGTTGAACTGTCTTGTGTTTCAGTGATCACATGCACTGTAGCTACTGAAGTTGCTGTATTCTGTGGAGGTTCTTCCAATTTGTATTCTGTGAAATTTGAGTTCCAAAAGCCTAGACAGAAAATCAAGTGAAACACGAAATATTAATAGTTTGTAAAGACACAAAAGCTTATATGTTTGAACTACAAGATTAGGTGGTTTCAGCGGTTGTACCTTGTCTTCTCCTTTCCTGGGACTGCTTTTCTTCATGACTGGATTTTGATTTGCTGCTTTCCACAGACTGGTCTGATTCTTCGTTCTCTGTTATAACAACAGATTAAAATGAAAAATTGAATCCAGAATGAAATCTCAGCTAAACTCTAGAATATAATTGAAGCTTGATGTAAAGTGTAAATATTTAACTAATCTTATATTACCTTTTTTCCAGGCTAAATGTGCCTTTTGCAGTCTGAACAAGAAGAAGATTACTACAATAAGCAAACATATAACAAGGCTTGTGACCAGCAGGATCAGCAGTGGTGAGCTTTCCTTTAGATCTTGTTTGCCAAAACCTGCAAATACACAAAGTAATACTGCAATCAGTAATTCATGTCCTTTACATGTTGCTTTGATTTTCATTTAGACATTTATGTGAGCGCAAGATAGAAATGAGTTTTGCTGGTTTGTTCATAAGCATTTAGTTTTTCATGAGCTTCACACCTTGTGAGTTGGTGTCATTTTTGGTCAGGAATTCATCAGGTGAATTTGAATAGTTCATGTTGTGTGCTGAAATGCAAAGATAGATCTGAGATCAACTTCACTATATAAAATAAGCAAGATGAATGATATTTTATGTTCCGTATATTATTTTAAATATTAAACAATGAAATTTTAAAACACTTACTTGTCAAGCTTATATTGGTTGCTGTGGAATGTTCCTCCACTAAAAGAGATCACAAAGCAAATCAGCGAACAAACACTGAAAGTGTCTTATAAAAACACGTACTAACTTTTAGGTGAAATGGAAATATTGGAGTATTTGATCATGCATATTCGCATATTTATACCTTGTATGCTGTTTGAGGTAGTGCTGTCTCTTGTTGGGAGCACTTCAGTACTTTCTGAAATTGATGACAGTTCCACATGTGCTGTAATCAGATGGTGTATTTGTTAAACAATAGCTGAGATATCAAAGATAAGCAGAATGCTCAAATGAAAAAAAAAACCTCAAATGCCTTGAAACGACTGTGTGCAGTATTCAAAAGCTACCAGAAGATGGAGGCAGAAAGGAGCAAAAGCAATTTCCATTCTGTGGTTTTATGGGAAACCATTGCACAGAAGGGGATTCTGCTTTCGTTTTTATGTAAGCTACATTTAAAATATTCTGTCATTATCAGACTCTTTTGAGATAGCTAGTTTGTTTAGTGTAATTGGTGCGGCCATTAAGAAATGAAATGACCTATACTAAGACATGAAATGAAGAGAAACACCCACCTGTACTGCTAATGACAGGAGCAGAAGTGGCTGTGATCATTACATCAGTTTTTAGCTCTTCTCTAGTACTGGAGTACCTTGTCGTGGAGGCCGTAACAGCTATGCAAAAGTACAATAAAAACATTTAATTACTCTGAAATCCCATCAGAAAATGGTTTGACTGTTTACTTGTAAGAATCTGGCTTAGTGTTTGTTATATTATAAATATTTAGTGCATCTGTTCTGGATGGGGAACACAGTTGTTTTGTTCAAAGAAATAGTTTCCCTGACATCATGTGACTGACCACTCTAATGTGAGCCACACATTCACTTAAATGGGAAACTACCAAATACTCTGAAGTGTAGATTAACTTTCCCTGTGCAGCACAGCCAAACAAAATCCCCAAATCTTTCAGTTCCTCTTTCTAATACTGGCTAATGTCATTTATGGTGAATTGCCACTGTTTTTGGTCACATGCTTGGAACATCAGTGGTGGTGTTGGTGAGGTTAGTTCAACTATCAATTCTTGTAAGTGGTCTCTGCTATTCCTGCAGTTGGTTATATGTAGCCTACCATTTGTGTATACTTACAGTGATTTTCAATAATGACGAAATTGATCAGTTGTTTTGGGAGAGCTGTATGTTTTGCCAGGCACATCACCGTTGCTTTCCTGATATGAGTTTTGACTGTTAAGAGGCTAATTGCCAGTGACCTGCTGGATCTTTCCTCCCGCAAGGTATTGGATAGAGCTGTTAGGACAAAGCAGGGTGCATATATTCAGTAATCTGTGAATTATTATTCAAATAATCTGAGAAACACCCTAGATTTACCATTGATAGTACTATTGTTTGCATTTGTCCTTAGCTGACCTATTTCAGAATATTGTGGTTCCTCTATTTTCACGAGGTATTCGTTTCTCAGTGACAGAAATGTCAGAAGTCATGGGAATTTTGTTTTTCAGTATAACTGTTTGCACAGTATGTCTTTCAGTAATATTTTTAAATTTTTGAAAGTCATAGTCACCAATTTGATCAAAAATCTTACTGACTCCAAACTCTCTCTCTCTCTCTCTCTCTCACTCTCACACACACGCACACACACACGTATGTGTGTGTGCGCGTTTTTGTGACAAATGAGTACATAAATTTGTATAATGACAAAGGTATGACATAGGTATTACAAGGAGAAGGTGACTTTTCAGGACATTACCCCATGTCCCCACTTTTCAAAATGCATATAAAGCACAGATTGGAGTGTATTGAAAATCTGAAATAGCACAAAGTTTCCTGTGAGGGGTAGGTTTAGGGGTAGGGTTGGTGTAGGGCAATAGAATATACGGTCTGTACAGTATAAAAACCATTACGCCTATGGGATGTCCCCACTTTTCACAAAAACAAACCTATGTGTGTGTGTGTAAGTATGTGTGTACACCTGTCTGCCCCCCTAACTGTCTGCCCACTCTGACACTTCTCGTAACTTACCTTCGATTTCAACCCCACTGATTTGCCAAGAGAGTTCAGGTGGGTGGCCATTCGCTGCCGCTGAACACTTGATGATTGTTTTATCTTTATACTCTGCCATTTCTATTTTTGGAATTTCTGTGATCCAAACAAAAAGAGTTTAATTTCATATTTAATAGTCATATTTGATGCATGTTTTTGGAAAAGATGAGAAGTAAATATTCTTACCTAATACTTTTACTTTAAATCTTTTTGAAATTACTTTATTGTCATACAGTAGACATCTGTAAAGCCCTTCATCTTTTAAGGTAACATTAGACATGTGTAATGTATATTCAGAGCTGCTTAAATGAAAAATGCTGCTCCTTGAGTCTCTTAGAGCTGTAGGGGAATGTGAAATACATTTTTTATGTTTATGAGATACAATAAAGAGGAAATGTAAATGTGTTTGAAATACATTCTTCAATATACAGTGTTCACACCCTCACCTTTTTCATTGTTAAAGAACAAAAGATGGCCTTGTGGATTTCTCCACTCCATGTGTCCATCCTCACTGAAGTTTTTTCGAGGGCATCTCAATACCAGCGTTTCTCCTTCTGCCACTGTAAGATACTTTGTTGCCAGACATTTTCTTATGCCTGTTCAGAATGAAGAGAAGTAAGTCAGTATCATCATGTTTTAACAAAGCTTCTCACATAATTGGCATTCCTCTTTGAATCAAACAACCTAAAACAGTAATGAATGCTAAAAGCAGTCAATAGGCTAGTTGAATGGAAGAACAGTAGGTTGATAGGGGGCAGATAGGACCACAGACACCCTATGCTCTGCTATGACTCATTTGTGTTTTCTTGCCACTTTTAGGGGCTGCGGCTGAAAGTGAGAGGGGGCCACACTTTGCAATAGAGAGAAAAAGTGACTGCTGTCATTGGTCTTTTATTTTCTTGTGTGGTTCGTTCTTGCAGCGAGAGAAAACTTGCCACTGTCACACATAAAGCGACATTCTCGTGCTGGAACAGGAAACAGTGGTCTTAAAATCTTACTCACAGATGTGTACACATATAAACAGATGTAGTTCTAAATCCTGCGACATGGGGGTGTGATTCTTTTAGTCATGGAAAAAAACAGTAACAGTAGTACAGTTCTCTTACAGTGCAATGCTTAATTTTATTCAGTTGATTTGTTTTTCTGTTATTCACCTTTGAATTTAATTTAATAGAATAATGTAAATTGTTTTAATTTTGAAATATGTGCAATATATTCACTGATACTGTCTTTCCTTATTTAGGACAATTATCGAAAAGCTTCACGTCCTCTGCTGTGTTGATACTATATGCATCTTTGCAAGAATATTTTCCTGTTTTTCTCCACTCCATGTGTCCATCCTCACTGAAGTTTTTTCGAGGGCATCTCAATACCAGCGTTTCTCCTTCTGCCACTGTAAGATACTTTGTTGCCAGACATTTTCTTATGCCTGTTCAGAATGAAGAGAAGTAAGTCAGTATCATCATGTTTTAACAAAGCTTCTCACATAATTGGCATTCCTCTTTGAATCAAACAACCTAAAACAGTAATGAATGCTAAAAGCAGTCAATAGGCTAGTTGAATGGAAGAACAGTAGGTTGATAGGGGGCAGATAGGACCACAGACACCCTATGCTCTGCTATGACTCATTTGTGTTTTCTTGCCACTTTTAGGGGCTGCGGCTGAAAGTGAGAGGGGGCCACACTTTGCAATAGAGAGAAAAAGTGACTGCTGTCATTGGTCTTTTATTTTCTTGTGTGGTTCGTTCTTGCAGCGAGAGAAAATCAAAGCCCAGCTAACAGTGTTTGTTATCAACAAACAGCTCATTTTATGCTTATTTTATGCTTATTTTAGATTGTTTCAAAAAACCCCTTCATGTGTGGAGACAGCTCTACAGCAGATAGAGCCGAGAAACTGGAACTCTTTGGGCAAAAGATTGACAAGGTTTGAAATATATTACATTTCTGTTAATGTTCCTCGCTGTTAAAAGCAATGACAATATTCTCAATATGATGTCTAAAAAAGGAGCTTGCTTTGTTTATAATTTTTGAAAATAAATATAGAATTACTGGAAAAATAAATATGTAAATAGTTAATATAATTTGTTTGTAATAGATTATATAAATATATATATAGAATTAGTCATTTATACAATTACTAAAAGTTTCTTCTTTGAATATTGCGTATATGTGCATATAAATTGTAATAAAAAAAAATTTTCTAGAGTCTTAATGCATTGTATTTACAAAATGTTTCTTAGATAACAGCAGGGGAAATGGATGTGCACATTATCCTGGATGATCCTGCAGGAAATAGTTATCTTCAGGTGAGCTAGGAGCAACATTTTTTTTATTTAAAGGATCTTACTATAATATCTCATGGTTAAGTGTAGGATTTATTGTTTTGAATCTCTTTGATTTTAAATATATTTTAAAATATGTACAGTGGGTACGGAAAGTATTCAGACCCCCTTAATTTTCTCTGAAGGCTAACCATTCACACCTTTTTGCAGAATGTTTATGCGCCAGATCCAGATCCAGAAATGAAGATTGAGAAGTACACCAGGACCTTTGAGCAGAACGAAGACTTGGGGCTGAATGACATGAAAACAGAAGGGTACGCAGAGAAATTGGCTTAAAGTAGAGAAAAATGGAGATTATATCTTGTTATATGCCAAATTCTGTCAAAACCATTATATAGCATTATTTAATTCACTTTTACATTTATTGTAATTAGCACTTCTGAAAACCATAATGTCTTTTAAAGGCAGCGTTCGAAAGGGGGAAAAAATATTATTTTTGTTTGAATAAGTGCAAGGTGCTGAATTTTCCTTGCTGTCTGTGGCAAAAAATGTTAAGTTATAAGTTTTGGTCATCTTGGCTATGAAGCTCTTGTGTTAATTACCAGTATAACAACAGAATTGTTAGAAAGTTTTTGAAGTACTTAAAACTACAGACACTTAATAAAGTAGTCTTAAGCACACTGGATGTGAATTCTTTGGACGCATTTTCATGTAATTGGACTGACTCATAAAGGCTGTAATATAATAAGTTATGTTTGTACAATAAAACGGTATGGTATAAGTATGGTGCTGATCTGTACACTTTGAGTTCAGTGAGATATCTAATTAACAATGGCTTCAGCATGACATCAAACCCAGCATGACATCAAAAGGCACAATAATGACTCCTTTGTTCTGCATATTGGTTATTAAAATTATGTAAATGTAACTGTAAATTCTACACAGTAGAATCAGTTATATATTTTATTTGTAAGTAAATATTACTAACTCCGTGTGTGACAGGGCATGTTGTGTGTCAGCATGGTGGTGGCAATGAGAGGGGACCCCTTCATGTACACTAACTTCTGTCTAAATATTCAGCTCATAAATTTGCCATTTTAATGAACTGTTATGTAAAAAATGTTCATTTCTTAATGTAAAAAATACAAAGTGCTCCTTAAATGTAGCACACTTCAAGCGCTTCTCTTTTAGACCATTCAAGTCATGCAACTTCGAGAAAAACAATGAATCAAGGGTTCTTTGTGCCTTCCACTGGCACTTTACATTTATTGAAACTTGAACAGCAGATAAAGGACATGACTTGCATGTAATTTAAAGCAGTGACAAATGTAACCAGCATTGGTCCATATACGATGGAATACTTGTGTTCATTCACCCCACAAATGGAGTCCCCCCCCCCTTTCTTTCTCAGAAAAGATAGTCCACCGTGATGGCAGGTTAAATGTCCCATGGCCATTTATAGCCAGTGGTGGTGAAGATCTCTTGTGTGAGGGAGTGCGTCTGTCCAAAAGAGCAATTATCAACACCAAAAAAAAATAAAAAATCAAAAGTTTACAAGATGCAGCTGTCATCTTCATTAAAACATACACAATATAAGGTGAACTAGGAAACAACATTACTTAGACTCAAACTAGCAGAGCTGCGTTTGTGTCATTGTCCATGATCGCAAAGCCTCGTTACTTGCTCTTGGCTGGCTTCTCGGTTTTCTTGGGCAGCAGCACTGCTTGGATGTTTGGAAGCACTCCGCCCTGGGCGATGGTAACACCGCCTAAAAGCTTGTTGAGCTCTTCGTCGTTGCGGACAGCGAGCTGCAGGTGACGGGGGATGATTCTTGTTTTCTTGTTGTCTCGGGCTGCGTTTCCTGCCAGCTCGAGGATCTCAGCCGTGAGGTATTCCAGGACAGCGGCCAAATACACGGGGGCTCCTGCGCCTACGCGCTCGGCGTAATTTCCCTTGCGTAATAATCGGTGTACACGTCCGACTGGAAACTGAAGTCCAGCTCTGGATGAACGAGACTTGGCTTTTGCGCGGGCCTTCCCACCGGTTTTACCTCTTCCAGACATGTTTTGACAACAAAGGAACCGCCTGTTTGGCTAGTAGTAGCGTCCCGTTTAGTGTGTCTAGTCAAATGTACTTTCGTTTATGAGGGAAGCAGGGATTGGTATTTATACCCGGACGTGTGCTCTGACTGGATGGTTTCACTCTAAAACAAGCAACCAATCGCCGCTCAAAATTTAGTTCATGACGTTAGAAAGTCATCCTATCAAAACCGAGACTGCGCTCGCTCTAATTTGCATGCCGACTGTATAAATAAGAGGCAAAATGTACGCAGCCAGTTCGCATACCATAAAGATCTTGTGACAGCTGAGCTTTAGTGAAAAACCGACACAATGCCTGAACCTGCGAAATCAGCACCCGCTCCCAAAAAGGGGTCTAAAAAAGCTGTCACCAAGACCCAGAAGAAGGGGGATAAGAAAAGGCGTAAGACCAGGAAAGAGAGTTACGCCATTTACGTGTACAAAGTACTGAAACAAGTCCATCCGGACACTGGTATCTCCTCAAAGGCGATGGGCATTATGAATTCGTTCGTAAACGACATCTTCGAGCGCATCGCCGGAGAAGCCTCGCGCCTGGCGCATTACAACAAGCGCTCCACTATCACATCCCGGGAGATCCAGACGGCCGTGCGCCTGCTCCTGCCGGGAGAGCTTGCCAAACACGCCGTGTCCGAGGGCACAAAGGCCGTGACCAAATACACAAGCTCCAAGTGAAAGTGAACAAACAAGACGGACTGGAATCTATCTCTGATGATGGAAGACGAAAACCATCCACTGTTGTTTGATATCCGCATGAGGGACCTCTGGTACATCTTGATAAAGCGCAGCTCTGGAAGAGCACAAACACAGTGCTTTCCATATGTAACACCAACATTCACCTGAGGCTGTTCCTGTTTGATCGTATTTGCACGTGTGAACACTTGTACTGTACTATTATGGCATATGGTCGTCATTTGTTAACTCATGTGGCTGTAAACTCAAGTTACCAGAGGGAAACACTGGCTTTGGTTTTTATTGATTTCTTGTTGACAAACAAGGCTGTACTGTATTCATACTGAAAAATGTCTTGTGTCTGAATGTTTCTTCATAACTACCCTGTCATTTACCATAAATAAATACATTGGTTAATGGTAGCTACAAGCAGATTTGCGAGTTTTCCTGCCTGCTAATGTGTAACTGTTAGCTTATTAATATGACATAAATTGCCCCATAAACGAAAGTGGCGACATAAAGCCGATTATTTAGTACGAAAAGGGCGCTTTTGTTACAGCACTATTTATTCGAAGTATGCTTTCGTTTAAAATGTGTTTTTAAACGACGTTGCCGTATCTACGAAAGTTTATAAGTGCGCTAATAAGACGCTTGGCTTGCGAGCAGGTACCCATTCATCATCAACATACTGTATGAAATGAATATTTTAAATATAGATTTATGCTGCTCTGATCCACCTTTGAATTAGGGACTGATGTGGGTCAGTGCTGGCATATTTTAGTGTTATGCAGCATTGCATTTTTACAAACAACTTTATAGAGGCACAGAGCCACTTCAGAGCAGATTTAACTCCGAAAACCTATGAAAATTAACCATGGTTTTACTACGAATAAAACCAAAAACCATGGTTTCTAACCATGGTAAACACAAATTAACAATGGTTTTGCTACACTAACCATAGTTTAACCATGGTATTTGTAGTAAAACTGTGGTTATACAAATGGTAATCAATACGCCAAAAAACATGGTTACTATAAAACCACGGTTAATTTTCGTAAGTGATTACTTTAAAACAGATGACTTAAAAGTACTAATGAGGACATCTCAGGTTACATTGAAATCAGGACATTTGTACACTTTATTGTATGGTTTGTTCCCTGTGATTTCATCCAGCTTGTGTTACTGGGACATATAATGGAGGGAGATGATTGGATCATGACGCCCCTGCAGGCAGAGAGAGAATGCTGAGAATAATCCACATGATCATATTTTGACATTTGGCATTGAATACATGCATATGGCGCACATTAAGTAACCACAATGGGTAAATTACATGAGGAATTTAATTACCTATGCATATTTTCATGATATTATTTTGCAAATGACAATTCAGTGAATCTGAATAGATGAGTGAATAGATTGTTGGTTTACCATAACCGCCATGTCATTAACCAGGAATCTTTGAAGTTCCTGCAGATGTAGGATATTTATATATTGGAATACTATATATTGTATTAGGGCCCAGGCTGGCTGGTCCAGAAGATTAAAAATTAAACAATGTGAGTAAGGAACCAGATAGTCAGATGGCCAGTGTCTTAGAAGATCAAAATCCCCAGAGTTAAATCAACTCTGCTCAGAGTACATATTGTCCCGATCTACAGAGAGTTAAAGTAACACTGAAGCTGAGTTAAAGTTAATGGGATAATTAAGCAATTAATTAATTGCTGGGCGAGTATTAGTAAAGAAAACCTGCTGATTACAATGTTGAAGATGAACTACTACTGCTCAGGCTTTTAGACATGAAAACGTATCACATAATCCTCAACAGTGGTAACTCTGCTTCAGTGTTACTTTAACACTCTGTAGATTGGGACAATATGTACTCTGAGCAGAGTTGATTTAACTCTGGGGATTTTGCTGTATTCGTTGTTCCTTTCACGTGTAGTTTTAAGAGGGGCACTCTTTGTTGAAATAACACTCTGACGATGGCAGACTTTGTCTGAAAGGGTCTGATATCTATTTCTAAAAAACGATGATGTGACGAGAACTTTTCTCACGAAGACTGCATACCTGAAACCACATACACTAAAAAAGGATATTGAGAGTGTGTGTGCGTGTATTTTATGAAAAATAATATGAATAGGTTAGACAACTAACACTGCTTTTATTGTCGGTTTAAAGGGGTCATATGATGCGATTTCAATTTTTCCTTTCTCTTTGGAGTGTTACAAGCTCTTGGTGCATAATGAAGATCTGTAAAGTTGCAAAGACTAAAGTCTCAAATCCAAAGAGATATTCTTTATAAAAGTT